GAGCAAAATCGAACCTAACACTAAGGTTAAATCATAAAGTTGTCCATACGCCAAGGTACGTGAAACAGTACATAGTCGCCCAAAGCCGAAGTTAACGGCGTTCTCAAACTCATGATGTTTAAGACGAAGCACATGAGGAAGATTCGCCCCTGAAACATGCTCGATTGAAGAGATAGCTCTGAGAAGCAAAATGAAGCATTTGCTGCAATGGATAAGAACCCTTCCTCTCAGAAGAATGCGTGATCATTCACTGACGTATAACAAAATTTTTTTAACTACTTGATACTTCAACTTAGTGCTTGGCGATCGAATATGAAATAACGCAACGCACATACCTGAAGGAAAGTCTTAGACGTAACGCTGACACTTGTGCCCTGTTGCAAGTATCGATTAGGCTTCGGTACGGTGAGGCTGAGAGAATGAACTTGGGGAAATCCTAGTCTAATTCATATTCTCTGGCCAGCTAGCAAATCGCTACTTTGAGGAACTTGCTTAATTTTACCAAGAAAAAACTAGAAGAAACATTCATATACAAGTGAAAGAAACCATTTCGGGTTTCGGACCATATTCCAGCCATTTATGTAAATGGCCACAAACAGACAACTGTTGTTCTCTAGACAAAAATTGCAATGAACCGCGCAACATTTTAAATTGTCTCCATGTGCAACCTTGTGTTTTCTGAAGTGCCGCATAAATGTTATCGGAAAAGCCGGCACGAGCAAAACAAATTTTATTGAGTTTTACTTCGCTTACTACACGAACTTCACTTCTGTGAATCGATTATATTGGCAAAGAAACAAAAACAGATAACCATGACTACGACTGAATGTAGGCGATTTAAAACAGGCATAACAAAACACATAGCAAACAGATATACAGAAGACAGGGCTTGCTGAAGACCAATGAAGGTCACGGCGGCGCTATCGTGAGACAACATATATAGAGGCTACGTAGCGCCTGACGCTGCTTGCCCGCGCTTTACACCGCGACTAATTTTTAAAATGTTTAATTTTCTATACAGACGCTAACGCAAGTCAATGACCAACTCATATAACGATAATGACCACTAACCATACTGCGCAATTTGCAAATTGAAGAACGAGGAATGTGCTTACGAGGTGGTCTAATAACTATGGAAACAGAGAAACCTCGCAAAAAAATTTTTTCTGCCTGCAAATCATGGTGACTCGCCATTGTAGCTTGCTGTTGTGCACGCGGGTCCGAAAGAAAGAAGTTTTACCATACCCGACTATCGGTTCGGTTCGCTAACACATGCTGGGTACAATGAAGAGAACGAGAGAAACGCAGCAGGGAGGCTTAGCGACGGACTCAGAGTGGCCACGACAAGCCCTGGCGAAATCGAACTCGCATACATGCTACACAACCGCAGCACCTTAATTATAACAACTATAAAGCATAACCACCGAAACAATCATCAGATTTTCTTCTTCAGCGTTGGGAAGAATCGTTTCTTGCCCGATGACTGTTGGGAGGTGGGCAGTGTGGCGGCTCTGCCGGCACCGGGAGACTCGGAAGAGTTGATCACCGCATTCAAGTGCTGGATCCAACGATTCATGTCTTCCTGGAACAGAAAAAACAATTAAACGATGAACAAATAATCGAAGCATATGCTTTCATTAGAACACACCTCATCCCGGGCCTGGAACAGGTACTCCCCTCCGTTTGGCAATTTCAGAGAAAAGACAAATCTTCTTTTCGTGTAAGAAGCGGCAACGTCTACCGTAGACGCAATGAGCGACAGCGGCTGCTCGGCGTGGAACAATTCACCGTCATCCTGTAAATCACAGCAGTAGAACATGACAATTACGACGAACAACAGGAGCCATACCTTATGCTTTTGGTCTTTGTAGACTTCGAACTGCTTGTCGTGGACCACGCAGTATAACTTCTCCCATGATCGGCTGCTGGCCTTGCGATCGAAGGTCTCCCAGGTGTGCTTGCGAATCAGGTAGCCTTCGAAGCCTTCTCTGCTTTCCGTGCCTAAATTCAGAAACGGTTACAAATCGAAGTCACAAGCAACACACGCCGACCCTCCACCATAGCAATCACGTCCGAACCAAACCAGCATCCTCAACCTTTATAAGCCCAAGAAATACGCTGACAGTAACGTAAACAAGGAAAAAGCAGTGCCCAAAACGCCGTGCACACGCCAGGAGTCGTATATGCTTACCAATTACGTCCCCTGCATCGAAATGCTTACGACGACTTAAACTCAGCCGCCAGCTGGGGCTTTCGGACGGTTGCAGGGATTTTAATACAGGACTTTCTAACAAAACAGATTCATTGTCAACATAACGTAAAGTTACGCGTATTTCTATATATCGGCAAAACAAATAACGGCCATGTGATATTAATCAGAGGCGATGGGAATAGCTCGTTAAAAATGCCACATCGACATGGAACTGAGATAATCCGGTTGAGAGAAGGAACATGGTCAGTCAGAACTGGAAAATATAACAACAGTTAAACAGTTATCGTCGTCGGTTAAGGACGAGGATCATCAGAGAGCAACTTGCTTAGTATCCGTCGGTCTGATTATGAGCTTCAATCTCTGTTATGCACAGAACTTTAACATAAGATATAGTCGCACTTTAATACAACATAAGTTATACTAATCTAAACTACAGACTAGTTGACCAAATTAACTATAAACAATACAAGAATTTTATGTGGCAGATGAAAATACGCTGGAGCATATCGTGAACGAGAAAACAATGGCACAAGCTGTTCACTGCCAATGATTGCATGCCACAAACTGATGTTTCCAATAAAATTCATTCCGTCTTCAGAGTTACACTGAGTTTTATATGGCGTAATTTTCATACCAGCAGTACCACTGACGGTGCCGTCAATGTCGTGAGTGAGTTAGCGCTCTATGTGAGATTGACAGCCGCGACGGGGTCGCTGGCGTGGATAGGTATCACTTCACTGACAAACTACGGGTGAAATATTTTCACGGCTCATGTCCCAAGGCACGGCGTGCTCATGGCTCGTAGTACGCACTGCACAGGTGAGGAAGTTTTTAACAACAACATTTGATAACTGTGACATTCCGTTGTTTCTCTTTGTCATCTACCTATATGCTTGAGACAAGTTCGAAGATGTAAACCGAACCACATGACCAGGGAAGCTGCCGATCCGTGTATTTACAAACAGTTGTATATTGACGCATAAAGATCGGATCGGATAGACAAAAGTACATGTGCACGCAAATATCAACAGTAAAATATAGACCGGCTACGGCAAAACCAATGTTAAACATAAACACCGTCTAACCTTGCGCCTCCCCACCTATAACGGTTTCAGTTCTACCTCCTCCTTCGGCGGGGAACGTCGTTTCAATTCTAAAGATAGAAAAGTTCAGCAACGAAAACAATGGCATTCTTTCCGAATGCACTTACCTTTCCGGAGACGTGGGAGGAGACTTTTTCGGTGTCGTCGCCTTTCGTTGTTTCTCCTCTTCTTGGCGGCGTTGCAACTCCTTCAGCTCAAACTAAAAAAGGAAGCGAGCCGTTGAAGCTGAATCGAACATGACTTCAAAATTACTGTCGAACACAAACATTGGGGCATGCACTTATGCAAAACCAAGCACAGCAAAGAACGGAAAATCAAAGCAAAAGGAAGAAACGGAAAAGCAAACAGTAGAAAGGAGGGAACAGACAAAACAGAGAAAGGAAAAGCCTTTTCTAGCGCATATTCATTCTCGCAACTGAAAAGCATTCTAGAATGATTGATCAGTAGTCATGCAAAGAGAGCCAACGTGAGAGAACTTCTGGAACAAGTATCGAAAACGACACCCGATCAGTACATGAAGAATGAAATATGTCTATCGACAAGGACAAAAAGCGTCAAAAATCCTGTCTGCGCCTCTTCATGACCTGCATCTTCACTACCATGTCAGTGATTATAATCGCAACAATAGCAATAAATATAACAGATGATAACCACGATGACGACTGTCATTAGAAGGAATAGCAGCATAATGGCAATGATTATGATAGTAGCTGATGTTACCGTGCTGATGGATATCAGGAAAAGTTGTCTGCAAATCAAATCAGCATTATCACTACAGTGACAATGATTATCACTATCATAGCTACTGTGGTATTCATCATAATAAAGATAAAACATGATGAAGATTATGATTATAAGAAATAACTGCAATAATCGTCATCGTGAAGACAATCACGGCAATGGTTATCAACGTCGCCGTTCATGACAATCATTGTCAATATACCGTTATCATATTGAAAACGCATACCGCAGTATGGACGGTTTATATAAACACAATGCAAAAGTCTACAATACAAAGTTCTCGAACGCTGAAGAAACTTCATGAATTCGGCTGCAATCACCTGAGAGAAAACTTTTACTGCCTATTCGACAGTACAAAAAAAAATAATGATGATTCAATCCAACTGTACGTATGATGATTTCTTCTTCGCAGGGGCTCAAAATAAACTGCCAAATCACTGAGACAGCTGACAGGAAGGAACACATTACGTTACCACCGAGTTTTGCAGGAAAATAAAACAGATAAAACCTACTGATGGGAGTGTTACCGTCGACTGATTTAATATTATTCATACTAACAAGTTAATCAAAACATTATGAGTAAACGTGGTCTAAAAGATAATTTCATAAAATATACTTACTAACCTGTAAAGTCGCTGTCAGTATACACTGGAATATATACTCACTCGAACGCAAAGGGCAGGAGCCAATTCATGAGGTTAAAAGGACTCATAGTTCGCCACTGTTAGACTATCGCCAAAGAAGCACCAAAGCCCCGAAACTCTGAACCTTTGCGGATGGAAGCTACACTCAGAAGCTACGAGCGCTCTGGCCAGTGTTGGTGTTCTGATGGAACCCAACCTGGTGATAGAATCCTTGTAAGGAAGCCTCTCAGCAGAAAGGTGACCATCTCTTAACTGAAGCCACACTAGGCTGATACTCTGACCTAGCTAATGGTACATACGCTCAATCTGCAGGGAAAAGTCTCAAGGGGTCGAGTCCTTCCTTGGAAAAGTAAAGTGTGCCCTGTAAGAAGCGTCGAATACGAAGTACCTAATTCTAATGCGCCATTTAAATGCACATGTCGGAGCCGATCCCAACAATTGAAATGGCATGACGGGAAACAACGGCCCTAGCGACCTCAACAGTAACGCCATGAAGTTGTTGT